ACAGGGTTTCTCTGTGTAGCTTTGCGCCTTTCCTGGAACTCACTTGGTAGCCCAGGCTGGCCTCAAACTCACAGAGATCCGCCTCGCTCTGCCTCCCGAGTGCTGGGATTAAAGGCGTGCGCCACCACTGCCCGGCAAAGCCCTCTTTTCTTGTTACTCGATAATAGTACACTATGGTTCGGCTGCCTTTGGACTCCTCCTCCCTCCACGGCATCTTACATTCATAGGAGCATGTTGTCTTTCCTACTAAACTCAACGGAGAGCACGCCTTTTTTTTTTTTTTTTTTGACTCAATAATAAATTATAGTTTAACCCTTTCATCCTCAAAGAACCATTTGGTATGTACAAAAAAAAAAACAAAACTAAACATAAACACTAGCTGGCTTAGAATTCATGTTCTTCTTCTTTGACAATTTTTAATTACAACTGAAGATACTTAATGCTAGATGATTCCTGTCCCGAGGGCCACAATCCTTCAAGCAAGACACTGATTCCTGTCACCTTGGCCCACACAACTTCTCCACACAACTGTAATCTATCAGTAAAATTTGGGGGAAATCTTAATGTAGAAAAAGGACCAAAAGAAAATGAAGGGTTCAAAACAGGGGAGGAAATATAATCGGGAAATCTGACCTCATTTGTCTAATCCGCAGCCTCTCGGTCTGCTCCAGCAGTTCTCAACCTGTGGGTCCAGACCCCTTGGGGGGCGTTGAAAGACCCTTTCACAGGGGTCGCATATCAGATACCCTGTATATCCGATGTTTACACTATGATTTGTAACAATAGCAAAATGGCCGTTATGAAGCAACAATGAAAATTATTTTATGGTTGGGGGTCACCAAGGCACGAGGAACTGGATTAAAGGGGTCGCAGCATTAGGAAGGTTGAGAACCACTGGTTTAGACAGTGGCCAGGTCTACCTGAAGCTAAGCACACCCTTTCTGACATTCAGACACCAGCCCGTGCCCGCCATCATAGCTAGCTAGTGCTGCAGAGCAGCCAGGAAAACATTAAGAAGCCAGGCGAGAGTTCCTCGGTCCTTCTCCACCATTTTGTCGCACTCCTTGCCCTTCCCGTCTTCCTTAGAGATGTGAAGGATGCTTGCCATTCCATATCACCTTATCACACACCCTTGACTTTTCCATAAAGTCTTCCTTGGAGAAGAAGGGTGCCTGCCTCTCCACTTATCCAAGAAGTCTGTTCTTGGGACATCAGTAGTGCTGATACAAGATTTTGCCAGTTGGCAGGTGAAACGATTTTATTGTCTAATTTCTATTTGCTTGTTCAGGGAGGGTATGGTTTAATGGAGGCTGTAACCAGTATGAACACGCTCTTTCCTCTACATCCTCTTTAACTCAAACCTGAGTTAAAGCCTGAGAATATCTAAGCTGTTTCTGCTCCGCTCTAGGTGAACACGACGATCTAGGCTATTCAAGAAGTCTAGATATCCCAACTGAACTGTAGCCCATGAGATGGGTCCAATGAAGTTATTAAGATATCAACATAAATAATAATACGTAAATAATATATGTAGTGTAAACGCTGCCTAAACTTTCCGAATTGTTTGGGCTGCATACACCTGACATCCCAAGAACGAAGTTTTATCCTGACTTGGTGAGTCAAGTTCAATGGCTAGCTTGCCGCCCTCTCCAAAGCCTCCGTGCCCTGCTAAAGACAAAGTAGGTTACCTAGGCGAACCAGAGCTGAAGCATGCGCACCAAAATCCTTCCAAGTTTTGCTCCTCTGAGCTTCCAGGTGGCCAAGGAGCTGCCTGGCAGCTGGGCTCTCCCACTCTGGAGCGCAGCCCGGGAGCTGCACTGCCTGGAACCCGGCAGGACCCGCCCGCACCCTGCGCGGCTGTCCTTGTAGTTAGACGCACCTCTAGCCCCAACCCGGATTCACCCCAGCACCTGAGCCTACTTTTCCTGGAACGGCCTTCTGGGAAGTAAGAACCCACCTGGGTTGCACGCCTCTTTCTGATCTGCCACCAGCACCGGCAGAAGGTATCCCGGGAGACTCATCAGGGGGCACCCGCCTACTTCCCGGATCTCATCTCCCTTGCTCCCCTTACTCCATGCAAAATGCAGCCCTTGGATTCCTGGAAGTGTTATGCAAAGGCAAGCATTCTTTTTTAAAAGGGGGGTGCAGAGCGCGCTGTGGCGCTCGCTGGGCACTCTCAGTCTTGGGCAGACAGCCGGACCAGAAGCCGACCACCAGCTGTGCGCCCGCGGGTGACAGCGCCGCCTTCTCTCGCTGCAGTTTGCTGAGGGACCGGTCTCTCCGACCTGGACCTTCCCGGCTTCTGGGGCCTTTACCTGAGTCCCGGGCTCGTCTGGGGCCGCGGACACAGCTTGGGCCGCGGCTGCTGATCCCGGCCGTGCGCTGGGCGACCGGTCCCGCTGGGCGCACTTCACCGCCGCCGCCCTCTGCCCCGGGGACACATGGAGTGCAGCCCTCCCCGCCGGCTCCACCTTCCCGCCCCCCCCGAGTGACTTCCCGGGGTGGTCCCATTCGCCGATCTTCTTTGCTGAGGCACCCTGGCCAGTCTGAACCGGTTGAGACTGCACGCCCGCTGGGGGAAGGAAGAGGAGGTGGAGGAGGAGGAGGAGATGGAGGCGGAAAAGCTGGCTGTAGGGGCGCTGCGTCTACTCCGGTGGCTTCAGGCCCCGCTAGGAGGAGGGAGGGCCGGACCCGAGTCCTCTTGGTCCCCACAAGGCTCCCCGTGTGTCCCCGCCCAGCACCGTGTGCATTTGCGGCGAGGTCGGGTCTGAACATGAATACAAGGGTCGCTTGATCTCCCTGGCTTCCCGGGGCCACTTGAGAGCCTCCTGGCCGAAGCTATACTCTTGGGCAGCGATCCCAGAGGAACGCGTCCTAAAACTTTGTCAAGTCGGTGCTCCTTGGCAATGGAGAGTAAAGATGCCAAGGGCTTCCCTTTGTGACAACTCCGCGGGAAAGGAGGGCGTCCGGCTGGACGAAGAGGGAGGGAGAAGCTGTGTGAGGATGGTCAGGTGTCCCGCAGTTGTGCCAAACTAACCCTAGCTTGTGGTGCAAGACAGCTCGCACCGGAGCTACCGAGCACTGCCCTCCACGCTGTCACAGAAGCCCACTGCAGACAATCCCGGGGTTCCAGTGGCTAACGAATGTGCGGTCACCATTCGCTCGGGGGATGTGCCTGCACCGTGGTCTGTACTTGTTCTCTGCCCCATGCACATTTTGTCCGTTGAGTTCTTGAAGAGGACGAAGTCTCACAGCTTGTGAATTCCCTGTATACCCAGCAATGCCTGCGTTCTAACTTAGACAAGGACTACCGTCAGCTAAGTTGGCTGCGGTTAAGCTGCCCAGCCTTTTCCAGCTTATTTCCTTATCTATCATATCAGAATGAGATTCTCAGAATCTTGCCTGCATCAAGGAGTGTGCGAGGGTCAAGGAGTGTGCGAGGGTTGAGAATTCAGAAAAGGTACGGAACCTAACCACACCCACCACCATGAGAAGATGGTAGGCTACAGCCCTTCTCCCCCACGCCCCTTTCTATTCAGGTTATGGGGAAGTCCCCTGAAAAATATTACTTACTCATGAGCCTGTAGAGAGAGCTTGCCATCCCCAGCACCCAATTATAAATAAGCTATTGTAACCACAGCAGTGGAGAGGCCGAGCCTGACCCCATCACAAAGCCCCAGGTCTCACGTAGAGACCCTGACTTCAAAACCAAGGTGGATTGCTCCCAAGAAACACACACACACACACACACACACACACACACACACACACACACACACACACGATGCTTATCTCTACATGAAAGAAAAATAGGGAAAATACCTCATAGTAACAAGAGCCCACGGTGGTGACTCGCACCCATACCCAATTGAAAAGGCAGATCTGAACTGCACAGTGAGTTCTAGGCCAGCCTGGGCTATGAAGACCTTGTCTAAAAATAGACACTACCAATTTAAACTACAACAACAAAATAGTCACAATGGGAGGGAGGGAGTACCAAAAAAAAAAAAAAATGCCTGGGAGGAAAAAGAATGGAGATCGGGCTGTCAACATCATAAAAATGTACTTGTGAAGAACATGGAGGCCCGGTATTCACTCCCTACTGTGGTCTCATTTGGGATGGCTTCTGTTTACTCACTGTATTTACAGCTGACTGCTAACCTATGAAATTGTCCCCTCCATGCTTCAATAAAAGATATTTTAGAAAGTGTTCGCTAATTTACACAGACCTTAACCATCAGAGTGATCTCAACTGTGGATCACACACCATCTGTGAAACTGCCTTTGGGAAACCCTGCTAGGA